CAGGCGCCGTTCGGTTTGTACCGGTTCATTCTGTTTTAAACTTGTGATAAATGTGATATAGTTGATTAGTTGAACACTTCAGCGGAGCTGTACCCAAAGTACCACGCCATTGAGATCCACAACCGAGCTTATTTTTGATTAAATTTCCAAAAATATTCGAAATATGATTATATGCACTTAAAAAATAAACATTAAAGGTGAAAATAAAAAAGTAAAATAAAAAAAAAAACTGTAGCATCTCTATAAACAATGTTCGGCGTTTACGCTCACTTCTTTGTTTGTTTTTTAAATTATTGCGATTAATTTTTTTTAAACTAAAAGAAAATGCATGATATTTTTTTAACAGTATATTTCAGATTTTGAGACAAAAACACAATTTGGTCAAGTTTCACTAGAATGGTTTGGTCGTTTAGGTGTCAAGTTTATTAAATATTAAATTAGTATTATAAAATATTATTTAATATATATTATATAGTATTATTTAAATCGAAATCTGGCTGATTTAAAAAAAACACGGTTGTCAGTGAACTTGAAGAAAGAAGGCTTCATCAGAACTTTCAGCATGAAATAAATTTTTGATTTGTAGTGCATGATATTTTTTAGAAATGTTTTGTTAAGGGTTTTCTTTTATAAATTTTAAAGGAGAGAAGAATAGTTGGGGTGATCAGTCAAATAAGAAGGTAAAAATAAATGATACTATTCTATGATTTTGACTATGTTTATCATTTATTTTTGTCTTCTTATTTGACTGACCACCACCGACTATTCTTCTCTCCATTATTCACGACAGAATTTATTGAAATAATTTAATGAAATTATAGACATGTCGTTTAGCAAATAATAGGTTCTTTTTAGAATAAAACATCATTTATCTATATAAATAAAAAAAAGATTTTGTCTGTACGATGAATAGAATCAACCCGTTTTATGATATCTTTCCATTTCATACATTGCTGGCATCAAATCCACTTTTAAAAAAAATTTTGTCTGTCTGTATGTCCGCAATGCAACGAAATTTTTTCAGAGATAAGCTGAACAATGGCTTATTGTAGACTTTTGAAATTTTGTCATTATCTTTAGGTTTGCTTGACTTAAAATTTTAACAAATTTTAATGGATCGGTGGTGGTCGGTTAAGTTGTGTGTTACCTAAACAAATAGCTGAATAACAAAGTTTTTGTTATGACTATTGCGAAACCTTGACTTCCATTAGCCCCGCCATAAAAAATTTCAAAACAACCTCCTCCCCCCCTCCCGACCCTATTTCATGAATTTTAATTTGGACCCTCCTTCCCCCATAATACAAAATCCGTCACAAAGAAAGATTTTCAAATTTTAACTACACACCTTCAACGATGGTACATCAGCTAGTAATTCATAAATTACGTCAGATATTTCATAAGATTGAAAAATGTTTTTTGTATTTGCAGAGAGAAAATTATAAATTTTAGAAGTTGTTATTTAGTGCTTAGAGGCGTAAAACCCCAAGGTCATCGAAATTAGTGAAGTAATATATTGCAATCAGTATAAGTATTTTGAAAACATGTTGACACCAGTTTCCAAATGTTCCATATAGATTGCGCTTCGATAACACTTCTTTTTGGAAGACCGAAGTAGTCCAGTTTTTCCGGAGGCGACCGAACTCCAGAATTCTGATTAGTAATGATCCATATAGGCATAATTTCCGCTCATCTTCACTTCTTCATCTTAATAAATGCCAGCTGACCCGTGCGCGCACAAACTTAATATTTACATCGAATTTTAATACATTAAGGATACACAAAGTTTTGATACATTTATTTAGTAAGCTAGTAGTTGATAAAAATGATTTACACTCTGCCACGGTTTAACTGTTGCGTTTCCTTGAACTTATAATTTAAATATTAGCTTTTTCCTTCATTGGATTATCATATATTAACAAAACCTTCTAAACATTGCTATAACATCCGATGACGGCAAAGAAGAAAGGCTCAAATTCTCGGGAGGAATAGTTAGACTAATTCAGAATGTAACTTGCTTTATCATTAAAAAAAAACAAAAAAAAACAATGAATGTGTATTTTCAAAATGATGAACTTTAATAATAAAGATTAAAAGTAAAAGCTAATGTAATTAAAGCACATTGTCAAACATTCCAAAGAGCTTTTAAGACATATTTATATAAATAAAAATAAAATTAATAATTTGCTTAATTTAAAAAAATATATTTTTTTAATTTAAAAAAAAATTGTAATAGCTACTGATTGATACTAACCGATAAATTCTGTGGTGTAGTCAATAAAAAAAGGCCGAATTTCCAACATCTTAAACTCCGATTCCCAGCTGCAACAGAATCTTTGCAGTACAACAAACACAACACAATACAGCCAAATAAGTAAGCTTTCAAATACTCATATGTTCTATTTCAACATTTTATTTATACTGTAGCTTTATATCATATATACATTTGACGTAATAGAGCCCTTCTGAGTAATATAAACCGAAAATAGGTAAAAAAAAAAACAGAGTTAACTGTTATCGATTTCGATGAATTTTTTTTACATTTTGTAAGGTATTTACTAACTTTCAAATACTAATACGTATAATGCACCAAAACTGTGTACTTTTCGAGATATTTGCAAATTATGAATTGTTTCGTTTCGTTGAGATGAAAACCATCAAGTGGTTTGAAACCTCCCACTTTTACATTCACTTTTATTTTATCACTGGTATGAAATTCAGGAATATTGATAAATAAATATTACATAATACATGTGAATTAATATTCTACGATTCGTGCATTCTACGTGTTATTTATTTTCTATTGATACCTTATTCGTCAAGATCCGTCACCATTATTTTTTTTTTTTTTAAATCTGATACGGTGCGCGCATCATACAACTTTTACTTACCACCCTATTGTTAGCAGAAATAAGTATTTTCCGACAAACCGAAGTGAAAGTAAAAATTATAGGCTGTATATTTATATACATTTCATTGTGGGTATTTTTATTTGTATAAGTATCCTCTACTACTATATAAATATATATACAAATAATTTTAATATTTATATCCTTGTAATCTATACAATTAAATATTAAATAATACCAACAATAGCATTTACGAAAACCACATATGTATATTTATATAATATTGTCGGAGTCCGTACTATATTATGTTCATGTTACCTATGGAAGCGTCTACTAATCTTTCTGGCGAGCTCGGGCGAGCTGGTATTCCTTTAGTTCTTTCATTACAAGTATCAGTTACAATCTCTTATTTCTCCTTTTGTTATTTATCAAATTCTTAAATATTTTATATTCAACCATTTTTCATATTAGAAATTAATGTGAAATGGTCAATTATTTCAAATTAAAAAAATTAAAGGTACTTTAGAGGTAACTAATATTGAAAATTAGCCATTTAAGCCCTGTTAGTGGACATCAATCAGAATAATAACCGCATTTTATTTAAACTGCTTAATTTTACACTGGTATGATGAATTTAATCAAAATCGTTAGAGCGATTATCTAGATAATCGTAAAATTGTGTTTAGTCCATTACATAAAGTACCACTTCCGATTAGCCGATTTTGACACAACAGCTGCTGTAACATCCGTAGCATATAAAAACCTTAAATATGCAATTTCATTTCCGTATGACTTTTCGTTTTGAGTAGAGTGTTAACACATACACACACAGATACAGTGACCATTTTGCGGGACTTGATTATTTGGACTCAGTGGTCCTCAAAACGTGTATTTCCTTTGAAAACTCATTCAAAAATGTTTACGATCTCAATACTTATCCTTACTGTACATTATTACATATATAGGTAAGTGAAAGTAAAAATTGATAAAAGAATGGTTGGAATGATCAGTCAAAAGAAATTTGTAAAAATAGACAATTATATCGTAAAACGGGGTTACTTGAAGACAGATTATCAGTATTTTGCACTGATTCTCTTCGGTAATTTTTTTAAAAATTATCTCACTAAACTGAAGCTATACATCTCTGTTTCCATCCATGTACTAATTTTTCGCATGAATGGAATAGATAAATTAATATAATTCTTTTACCCCGTGTTCGGGGGTTTACTTTGTAACTCGCAATATTCATACTTGTTTATTATTATTATTATTAGTTTGAAATTAGCCCATGATTTTATGATAAACTGTACTTATGATTAGTTTATCCCCTTAACAGTTCTCTTTTAACAAGGATGAACCCTACTCTCTTTATTTTGAAGAAAATTTCTTCTAGTTTACTAAGAAATAATTATTAATTATCTAAATTAAATTTTTATAGTATTTTCTCACCTAACAAAAACGTGACTAACTTAAAAAAAATACAAAACTTAGGTTTCTGCCATTCCTCCAGGAAATCGGACGACAGTTATATTTCATATCTCTTCTAACACAACCATAACCATTTACTATCTAAAGCAAACTAAATTCTTTAACCTATTTTATATATTTTTTTATTGTTTTTGCTGAACATGAAAATATTATCAATTATACCACTGTATTTAGGAAAATCATCGATTTCCAAAACAATCAATATTTAGTAATTCTTTTAGTTGTTATTAACTTGTATACACATGCAATAATTTCAAATAGTTTTACCATGAGGAAAGGAAATGTATAGGAAAATAAAATTCAATTCCTTTTCGAAAGTTAATATATTTTAACTGACTATAAATATACATAAAAGCATTAAATCAATAATTACGTCTTCGTAAAATAAACATTATTAGTAAAAAAAAGTACAAAAAAATTATATACAAATATTTAAAAAATTAGCAAAACACATCAGAGTTCTATATAAATATAAAAAAGGTAACTTGTGTTATTGTCAGTACAAAAATTTTTTAAAATTTATATAAAAATTAAAAATAAATATAAAATACATCACGTTGAGTACAAAAATGTTTTAAAAAATACTATACAAATGTAAAAATCTTTATCACACAATTACAGTTAATTATCACAGCTATATCACTGTACGTGTTAACAAAAGAAACAATTTATTTTGCCAAGAGAGGGGACAACAGGTCCTGGGACAAGATCTTGCTGAGCAGGCTGTCTTCGCCAGCCGATTTCCCGCAGCAGCTGATGCAGAGCACAGGTTTTGGCCTCGTCCTGGATCTGACCAATCTCTTCGCTCCCGCGGACATCGCCTTCTTCGACGACGGAGATGAGGCAGTTCTGACAATGGTAACGTTTCCTGAACAGGCCTGGCAGCGGGAGACCTTGGACTCCACTGAGAGGCCCGGGTACTGGATGCTGCCGCCGATAGCGAACGTTACTTTCTTGGAGGACTTCTTGCGCTTGCCGCTGTCGGTGGACATGTTCTCGACCTCTTCCGAGCCCTCTCTCCCGGTACTCCTCGCCGGTTCCCGCTGCAGCATACAGTGGACGCAGACGGGGGCCACGTCGGGCTTGAAGGCAGCAGCCTCGAGGGCGAAGAGGACACGGCACACAGAGCACTCCGCCGAGACCTGACTCCCGTACCTGGCTGCCTGGGAGGAAGGAAGGCAAGAGCTTAAAGGATCCGAACTCGGAGAAACCATCGTGATCGAAAGCTATTCAAGACTGAGGGATGAAGAGTACCTGGCCCTCATATACCCCGCTACCCCCACCACCTGATACCTTCAAAAGTTTTTTCTACATTTATTCAAATTAATTAAATTATCATATCATCTGATATGTAAACATTTTGAATTAAAAAAAATAAATCACATGTTTAACCAAGTAAAACTTAATTGAAATAAGAAAGAAACATAATATCTAAAGTTAAATATTTAAGTGATTAATTTAACACAAATATTTAAAAACCAGCTGTCAGGTGCGAATGATTGAGATAAAATATTAACCAGAGGACAAGTGATTAAATAGTATCGAAATATGTCGACGAGATCTGCTATCAGGTGGAGGAGCACATTTTCCTTTTCTTGGTCGAATTAAAATAGTTAATTTATAAAAAATAATCAAAACCTTTGCACAGTTTACCGTAGTCTATATCTTTTCTTACAACGATCCCCTTTCGATTTTTTTTCTTTTTTTATAAAGTTTGTAACCTTTTAATTATTTATGGATTTAATCCACCGCAAATTGCATATTTTCCCTGCTATGGCCAAATTAAGTTGCTTTTTATTTTTAACGTTTTTTTTTAGATGTTGGGGGTTGTGTGTAGACAATCTTTAAAATAACGGTCCGATAATTGGAACTGACGAAAATATGGCGATCTAAAACACCAGTGAGAAATAAAATATAGTATATATTGTATTTATTTCTAACGATGGTTACTTTTCGATATTTATATTACAAAATTTTAAAAATAACAGTAAACTTTAAGATAGAAAACATTAACATTTTAAAAAAGAATAGTTATATAGTTGTGTTCTTTTAATAAATAAAAACAATTTGTGGCCTTCTTCGTGTTGTTTTTCAAAATTTCAGCAATATTATTTTCCAACTCCATTTCGTTACGACGTTCTTTATAGGCCCAACGCTCTGCCTGGCTGATGTTTTCCACTGAGGGTCGCAATACTTTCCCTTACTATATGTTACATATATAGGCAAATGAAAGTAATAATGAGAAAAAAAAGTGTTTTTCAATTATGGCTGATTGTATAATGAATCATGGAGGTCTGATATTAATTACTTTAGGTTAGGTTTGGGTTAGTTATGGCTCGAATAAAAGGGAATGAAAACCTAACATATCGATTTGACTAATGTCTACTTTAAAGACGATCACCAAGCAGTTGGTTGACAGGGGCACAACACCTCCACATCTTAGCTGTACCTTTGTGTTGATCCCATCGCCGAACTTTATGGCCCACACCTGTTATATTTCTTCTAGACAAAGAGCCCTCGGGCGTCCTAACATATTTATTATCCCTCGCTGTACCTGTTTATTATCCCTGTACCTCTTTTATTTATGTCCTAGTGAGCTACATCTTTATTACATATTTATTTGTGTAATAGCTTGGTATGACCAGGTTTTCGATTTAAAGCTCGTCAGTCTGGGAGCCCATACAAAGAAATGTGACTTATTTCACTGAAAGTTTCTAACAATTTTATTTTTGAAAAAGAACTAAAAATGAGCAAAAAAAAAAGTATATTTTTTTTATATAACTTTCATATTTGCTAACCATAAACAAATTGTTCTACAACTTCAGGTTCTAGTTCAGAACACAAAATAACTTAGCCCAAAGTAACGGACTGAGATATATTACATCAGAATATTGAACTTCAGACCATTTTGGATTATAATTTGACTGGCAATAGAAGCAAAAATCTGGCGCGCGCAACACACAATTTTCACTTACCGATCTACTTTGAATAGAAATTATTTTCTGGCAGTGCTGGGCTATTATAACATTTTTTTTGAAGTGCATTTTAAACGGAGCTAAAGCTTAAAGCTAACAGATAACAAGTCATTAAGGCCATTATAATTACAAAATGTCTATTTAATATATTGACGACAGGCAATATAAACCTATTCACTCTATCTGCTTTTATAAACCACAGAATGACTAACTCCAATTTCAACATTTTTGAGTGATGTCATTTTAGTGATATTTTTAGTTGAAAAGTTATCTATGCAGACAATGAGTAAGTTGATTCCAGAGGTGGTGATTGCAGTGTTGTAATATAGAACTGAGAGTAAAAGTATAAATTTAGGTACTACTTTCTTATGAAAGATGTTCTTAGGAAAGACAGTTTATTAAATATCTGTAGAAAAAAGTTTTTTTTTGTCTCAACAATTAAAAAAATATATTTTAAATTTATCCAAATTTTCGCCTCTTCAGGTAAAAAACTAGAGACCATATCTATCCTCCTAATTGTCCGATTTTAACGATTTTTTTTTTGTAATTCCTTAAACTTTTAATAATAAATGTATGTACACTCATGATGTGATATGGACTCCAATTAACTGTTGCAAAGCACTTATTTCTTGTTTTCCGCGTTGTGCGATTTATTGTAATAAAGTTATAAACAAAGAAGAAATATACCGTCCTACCTTCCTACCGTCGCAACTATTCCCTGGCATCCTTCCTCTTTCAAGTCATCCAATCACACCGTCCTTCATACATAACTTAATGGAGTAGCATCAGGTCAATAGCTACAGCAAGGACCAAATTATGTATGATGGAAAGTTAAAGAATACATTATTTTATTTGTTTCATTTTCGTTCTGCAAACAACATGGAGAATGTATAGTTAAAATGAAGGAGAATATGGTTTGCGGTGCCGTCAGAAATTAAACAGACCTTATTAAGTAGGTAACATATAGTTTTTAGACTTTCCGGACTAAGTTGACTTCATGGAAGTTCAGAAAATTAGAATATAAAAACATTAGAAAAAGGTTAAAAATTAAAAAAAGTGTATACTTTTTGAGTTATTATGAATCTAATTTTACCAACCCTCCTAACCTTTTTTCCAGCTTCTTTTCGTTGAAGTATGTTATATAGACAAATTTAAAGTGAATCGAGAAGAAGGCTTTAGCCAAGTTTCATGGAAATCGGTACTTTCGTTAGGTTTTTCGGTCACCATCTTGAAAGTACTAGGCGGATAATAATGCCGATGTAGGAGGATCATCCTCGGGTGAAATCCAAATTTTAAAAAAAAATCGGTCCAGTAGTTTCGGGGATGGCCGACGGACTAAAATATTTATATTAGATTTTCGAATTCTACGTATCCCCCTCAAATTTTGAAGGGTGGTTAAGTTTTTGATTTTTTTGGTCGATTACAATGGTTCATTATTGAAAATGAAAAACCAAAAAGTTGTTTGTGTATTGTCAGTATGCCATATTATTTGCATCTGAATATGATCATGAAGAATATTCATATAAAGAGACCGAACTTAATATATTTTAATTTTTTTTTCTAATCCTTGTACACCCCTCTTCGATAGTTTAATTTTAGATTCCATGCAATTTAAAACCAAATAAATCGTTTTTTATTTCATATATTTGGAGGACATATTGCCTATATCGCTGCCATTATAATATATAAGAAAAGTGCAACAAGTTTTGAAGAAAAAAAAAACGGATCTTATTTAACTCATAAACGAGAAATTCCGTGAATTTTGGCGAAGAGAAGGTCATAACCAAGACCTGGATTATTATGCGATTGCATATTTTTATTGCGTTATTTTTTTTAATCGCTGGCCAAATATTTATACGAATTAGTACAATGTGATGAAATTAGTCAAATTTTATTATGCATGTTTGAGGATATATGTATATAATTGCATATTTGAAGATAAATGCATATAATTGCAAATTGTGATTAATTTAATGAAGTTACAATATATATAATGTGTGTATGTAAATGAATATTTATTTATATATACAAAGCAAAATACAATATTGAAAATGCTATTAGAGATTTCAATCGCAGGTTTATTTTCAATGAACACAATCTACCAACTTTGTAGACTGTACGTAAACCCCAACATAGAACTGTTCACCTACCTACCTACCAACCGCTATACCTTTTAATAATTATCTTTATGGATGTTCTCCAATTCATACTAGAAATCCATTTTCCCTTTTTGTCCCACGTAAACATCATACTAAGTTTGTTGTCTACCTTCTTAGCAAGATATCATATTCCTGTTTATTTAAAATACCAAAATTATATCGATGTTCAAAACTGTTCATCAATGTTGAAATCGTGGATTGAACCTTAAAACAACAAACATGAAATGCCTTTTACAACTGATGGAAACCAGTGGTGCAAGGCCAAGTGGATGAAACTTAAAATGAAAAAATGGAAGAAGTTTCTATAAAAAATTCCAGTCTCACAATTGTGGAACATATTAATAAATATTTGGACCCTGCAGGGGAGGGGCAACAATAAATAATAAATATTTAGACCCTGCAGGGGAGGGGCAACAATAAAAATAAATAAATAATAAATATTTAAACAACTTAGATTCTATTCTTCCGAGCCCCATCCACATCGACCCGCTAATTTTAAGCTGTTATAAATTTGCCCTGTCTCGGCTATTGATGTTGAAAGATAATTTTCTAATTATAAAAGGTTAGTTTTCACAGAAGAAAATTTAGCAATGCTTCTGGTAATTAATTAAAATGCTGAACAAAGTAGACTAATTCAAATATTTCATCTACTTTGCATTATTTAGTCCACAATTTGTCAATTATTTTATTGTTTCAACAAAGACTCATGTTTGATATTCATCCATTCACATATAAAATTTTGAAGCGTTTACATACTTATTGTTCAATATTTGTTATATTTTATTATTACGCTTATTTAATTATCTTAAGAAAATTATTGTTTTTTCGTTTGTATATACTTTGATAAATAATTTTTTTTAATGTGATTCATTTTCAACCTTCGTTACCATTGTAATGTACATATTTATATTATAACCTTATTAGCCGTATATGTTTAGCTATCTTCTTTCTTTAGTTCAGATATTTAAAAAAAAACAACCAAAATTATTGAAATTTTCGATCTCTCCATTATTTCTTTTCGTTTCAAAACTTTTTGTAGACACATCATTATATATAAATACGTCATTGTATTATTAGTTATCAAGTAATTAGTAAGTTTAA